GATAATGTAAAATAGGAAGAAAAGGTCCAAAGGGGTAGGGGTAGTGGGAGGGGCAGTGAAAAGGAAAGAAGGGAAAGGAAAAATGCTGAGAAATGGAAAAAATGGAAATAAAGTCTTTGTAAATAGAGAAGGGTGGAGGGGTGAAGGGAGGGCTAGGAATGGGGAAATAATAAGAACCAAGATGTATCATGTAAAGATACAATTCCCAATGAGAAATGTTATTGTGTTGTATACCTACAATGTACCAATGAAAGAATTTAATAAAGTTAAAAAAAAAAACGGTGAGGATGTAGCTCAATGGTAGAGAACTCACCTAGCATGTGTGAGGTCCTGGGTTCAATTCCCAGCACCACATAAAATAAAATATAAGAGAAATCACTTTAAGAGTATTAATATTTTTAGTATCCAAACATTAAACAAATGCATAAGAAACAAAAAAGAAATTTCCCAACCTTATTAAGAATGGTGAGTAACATATTATCAATAATACGATCTTGGGCCAGGGATTTAGCTCAGTGGTTCTGCTACCTGCCTCGCAAGCACAAAGTCATGAGTTCGATCCCCGGTACCAAAAAAAATAAGCAATAATAATATTACAATCTATTCAGACTGTATTCTATGAGTTCTCCCCATACATAGCATGTATGTGCATAAACATATATAGCCATGCTCCACACATACAAATACATATTCCTTTATAGTAGGGGCAATGTACTGTATATGGTTAGTTTCACGGGAGAGCAGTATATTCAGAACCAAGAACCTACATTTACTTTGCTAAGGAATTAATTTAACATACCACTTACATACTTAACATAACTTCTGGAAAAGAAGTTTCTTTTTCTAAAAGCCCCCTACCCCATACTGGGGATCAAACCTAGAGGAGCTCTATTACTGAGCTACATTCCCAGTTCTTTTTTCCTTTTTTTGGGGGGGGGGGGGCTTGAGACTGGGCCTCACTATGTAGTTCAGGCTGGTCTTGAACTCACTGTATAGCCCAGGCTGGCCTCGAACTCACAACAATCCTCCTGGCTCAGCCTCCCAAATGCTGGGATCACAGACGTTCACTACCATTCCCGGCTTTTTTTTTTTTTTTTTTTTGATACAGGGTCTCACTAAATTGCCCAGGCTGGCCTCAAGCTCATAATCTTCCTGCTTCAGCCTCCCAAGTAGCTGGGATTACAGGTGTGAGACGCCACACTCCGACTTTATTTTCTTTAGAAAACTAGGCCAAAGTGTAATTCCCAACTGACAGATTCCCTTAGAACACTCACCCTCCATATACATACACACTTTTTATCGTAGTGGCTAAATATGTGAACTAAAAAGTGGACACACATCTCACAGCAATAATAATGTGAATTTCCATCCTATGTACAATATTAAGCTTTCCTTGCATCTAAGACTTATCATAGCATTTAAGAAAGTGAAGCACATAGGATAGTCCCCAAAAAGTAGCACCAATAACACTGTTTAATCATAATATTTTTTCACTCTACTAAAATAAGGACTTCACTCAGGGAAATGAATATGCCCCATCTTCTCAACTCTGCTGATTAATTAGAACTCATCAATTAGGCAATGGCAATGGCTTTAATGGTAAAGCCAAAAGTTTGCTGACAACTTTCTCTTTAAATGTACATAAGTAGAAATTATTTAAAAGATAAATCTACTAGCAAATGATGAGGAAAACATCTTTATCATTTTACAACCTCACTTACAACCTCATTCAAAATCTAGAATGTGAAGTTTAATAGTTCTACTTAAATTTGCTTTATAGTCCACTGACAATTACAGAATAAGACAAAAATCCTTTTCAAATATAATTATACCTAAAGTCATTAGTGCTCCAAGTAAAAGCCATCCAGCTTGGGTGCGCTGTAAAGACAGCCTGCTATTTTGGGCAGCAGTTCGTAACAGATCTTCAGCAATACTAACTACCATCTGCAAGAGAAGTTTAGGTTAGATTTTAATTTAAACAAGTTAAATCAAATAAGAAAACAGACAACTAGTACATTTAAAAAGAAGTTGTCCTTTCATGGTTAATGTTAAAATGTTCCCTGTAACAACATCAAGATCTACAGTGTCTATTGTACTGGTGACTCTGAGAAGACCCAGAATCATGCAGTGGTCAAGAGAAATCTTTGAGCAAGGCACGATGGCATACACCTATAATCCTAGCACTATGGGAGGCTGAGGCAGGAGGACTGCAAGTTCAAACTCAACCTGTGCAACTCAGTAAGATAGCAAGACCCTATCTTGAAATAAAAAAACAAAAAGCTGGGGATGCAGCTCAGTATAAAGACCCTGAGCTCAATCCCCAGTACTGAAAATAAAAGAAAGAAAAAAACAGTAAGCTTTAAAGCCAAGGTTCTTGTTCCAACTGCCATTTACTGAGTTTCTGACCTGGGGAACTTAAACTCTGTGCCTTAGTTCCCTTGTTGATAAAATAGGAATAATAGGAGTGTCTACCTCACTCCTGCCAGGCTTAAATTAACACAGTACAGTACTTAGAACAGTGCGAACCCACGTAACCACATAATAAACGCTATCATGATTGGTAATATCATCCTATATTCAAAAATTTGTTGAACTTCTATGATACAAATGGCTGTAAACTAATCTTATGGAATTTACAGTGTAGATTAGTGATGGTAAATCTTTTAGTGCTTTCAATAATACAAACAGGGCTGGGGATTTAGCTCAGTGGTTCCGCTGCCTGCCTTGCAAGTGCAAGGTCCAGAGTTCGATCCCCGGTACCAATAAATAAATAAATAAATAAATAAAATAATACAAACAGCCTGCTGTGGTATGCATGCCATAGGTTTGCCACCACTGGTCCAGATGGAGAAGACAAGGGAAAAATGGGAACTGCAAAGCTGCACATGACTAAATGGCAAAATAGAGCACAGATATCTTAACAGTCAGCAAACAACAGCCAATATAGAGTAAACAGTTTTGAAGAAATTTCAGGACAGAACTTGAATTGGTCAAATCTCTAAAGAAAGAGGCCAGGCAGGGTGGTGCACACCTGTAATCCCAGCACTGGTGATGAGGAGGAAAGAGGATCACCGAGAGCTCCAGGCCAGCATGGGCTCCATGAGTAGGTAGGCCCAGGGCACCAAGGAGGCCAGCCTCTCTGAAGGTCAGAACTGAACTACAGAGCGAGACCCTATCTCAAAAAACCCAAAAGAAAAATTTTAAAAAGGAAGGGATTTCAGTCTGGTCCAAGTGAGTAAGAAATTCTAATATAAGAAAGGCCTAAAGGCTGAACAAGTCCTGGGAAAAAGCAAGATGATCAATCTGGGTAGAACAATGGGAAATCAGAATGAATGGGTAAAATAAAGGCTAATTATGAAGATTCATCTATCAGAAAGATTACATTTTATTTCCTGAGTACAAGGTAGCTCCTCAGGATCTTTGAGCAAACATGGAATAGGAAAGCGGTGTGAGGAAAACAGAAGAAAAAGACTTCAAGAAGGACAACCAGTGAAGAAGCAATGATATGACAATGGAAGAGAGAGACCTAGATTCTAAGTTATGAACTCCTAGAATGAAGGTAGCTGGGCTTTGTGGTGCACTTATAATTCCAGTACTCTGGGAAGCTGAGGCAGGAAAATGGCAAGTTTGAGCCTAGCCTGGATGACTTAGTGATTCATCAAAACCCTTTCTCAAAATAAAAAAATAAAAAGGAGCTAAGGATGTAGCTCACTGTAAAGGCCCAGAGTTCAAAAAAAAAGGAACATAAAGAATGAATGGACCTCCTCTGAATGAACCAGAAAAAGAATAAGAATTTAAAAATCTGCCTCCAATCTACCTATTTATATAAACACTTAAGATTCCAAAGAAAATCATGGTTGTGATAGAAAGTATGGCAAACTTTTTACAGCTTTCAATGATACAAACAGCCTGCTGAGGCACACATGTCATTGGTTTACAACCACTGTTATAACAGAAAGAAAAAAAGGGGAAAAGTAATGATTTATGAAAAACTTTGGCTATTTTTTTGGGGGGGGTACTGGGGATCGAACTCAGGACCTTGTGCTTCTAAGGCAGGCACAGTGCCACTGAGCTAAATCCCCGGCCCCTATTTAGTTAGTTTTTTGAGACAAAATCTCTGTTATGTAGTCCAGTTTGGCCCTGAACTTGCTATGCAGCCCATGATGGCCTCAAACTCAGAGTCCTCCTGCCTCAGCCTCCCAATTGCTGACACTGCTGGTGTGGGCCATCACAGCCAGCTCGAAAACTATTTAATTTTAAATTAAGTATTATCAAATTTTAAACATGGTAATAGTATATTCTCCTGCCACCTTTGAATTTAGCAATCTGAATTTCTATTTGTAGAAACTGAAAAAAAAAAAACTTTGAATTTTAAATTAATTACAATAAGGGATTTTTTTCTAAGTAACATAATACTATATCCAGACAAAACCTACCACCCCATATCACAATTAAATATTCTATTTTAATTAGAGCACACATTAAAACTATATTCTAAATTACCATAATAAACCTGTTGCATTTAATCATCCAGTTCAACAAAAACAGCAGTGCTCAAATAAAGATGGAAGCCCACCTGATAGGGTTCAAAAATCTAGGATCTCTGTCATACCTTTCCTTTGGCGTGAGGAATACCCAAAGCACACTGATGAACTCCACCTAGCAAAGCAGCCATTGCAAAACTGTATCCACTAACAGCTTCTGGTGATGTCTTCAAGTTGATGAGCCGTTCTGCACACCTGTCTAGAAATGGCGTCAACTGGAATGGTAATGCCACGGCCACACAGCGCAAACACCACGCAGCGGCAAGCCGAGCAGCCATGCTTGGGTGAAGAAGGACCGAAGTCACAATCTCCAACAGTCCTAAGAAAAACCTTAAATGTTACTCTTTGATTTAGAAACTAAAAGATTATGTACAACACAATGATGACAATAATCACCATGATCTCACACAGTTTCACATCTGTGCCAAAAAACAAATATACTACTAATAAACAATAGAGTGCTTTCACGGAATATATATTCTACAAAGAAAAGAGAATAATCATATCCAATAAAATCAAAATGTTGATGAAAAATTAAAGTCTTCAACAGTTTTTCATCACTTACTGGAAACAGCTACTATAACTGATTGGTCTTCAAAAGTTTTACCTATTTAATTCAATATTCCCTATCACAGTGAAGATAAATAAAGCTCAATGATCTCCACTGCAATTATGACAGCAAGTAACTAGCCAGGACTTAAATATCAATCACATCCATGACTCTGAAAATCAGTGAGACAACATTCCAGCCACACCCAGGCGCCATACCTATGGAAGCCTCCTGAATAAGTGGAGAGGCTGTGGCGTTCAGGCTCTGCACCAGGCTCCCGAGCTCCTGGAGGGCGCAGACCATCACATGCTGGCTCGCTGCAATGTCTGCCGCGCCGGATTTGTTCTCACTGCTTGTATCACTCATGACTGCTTCTGGAAGCACAAAAGTATGTATTTGATAACGTGGGTGAACTGAATTGTGATATAATAGTTTGGGTCTACACAATTTGTATTTTAACCATACCACTTGATACATGGGAGTTAAAAATTCTATGCAGTTATCATTCAGTGCAAAATTTTAATAACTAAGTACTGAACTGACTTAAAAACACAGCTTAATGACTTTACGACAGTGCTGAGATTTATTCTGTACAGCGTTTCTAAAAATGCAAGTTAATTTTAGTAAGCAGCAGCAATTCATAGTGTTTAAAAAGCAGTCCCTGGTTGGAAATGTCTCACTTCACCGTGCCCAGTGGGCAGGACAGCAGGACTGTGTCTATTCAGCCCTGCAGGCTATCACTGGAGGGCTAGGATGCTCCCTCCCTCACACTGCTCCTCCCCAAGATGCCAAGTAGTACACAGGGTGTGGGTGGGGATGGGCACTATGCTCCAGGAGTGGACTGGCTTCCCTTCACCCACCCCGACACTGCATTTTAGCCCAGCTGGATTATCTTGTCATTTATCCTGCGGTACAGAGTTTCTTTTGCCTCCACCTGAGGGTAACTGAGACACCAAACTGGAGACACTCACTGGTGGCTGGCCCCTTATCGGCTCATCAGGAATCCCTTCACAAACATTTTTCAAGTTGTGAACAGAGGGCAGAGTTATATTTAGGCAAACATGTAATACACATTTGTTTTGTTTTCTTGCAGTGCTGGGGATCAAGCTCAGGGACTCTTGCATGCTAAGCAAGCCCTCTATCATTGGCTATATCCTCAGCTATTTAAATAATATCTAAAGAACAATATTTCACTAATTCAAACACCCTTTAATTCATAATTCAAACTTTTCAATTAGCCTTCTACATTTAAAAAAAAATACTAAGATATTATACATGACAAAAGAACTATAAACTTTTGTTAATTTTATAAAATGTTTGTATTTTCTCTAAAAATAAATTACTGGTTGTATCTATTCACTAACTCTTTATTTCTAAATATTTATTTTAGGCAATATAATTTGACTTATTAAAATTAATGCCTATTTTGAACAGTATTAAAACCAAACTGTCTCATAGAATTTATATCTTGCTTTAGACCACTGATTGGATCATAAACTGCATAAACATAAGAATTTTATCTCATTCCATTATTTAAACCCTGAATTACTGTTCTGCAAATCTCAGACATTCAGTAACTATTTGTTAAACTTAAAAATACATGTTTTAGTAAAGTATTTTACCAGGGTGCAGCTGGATAGAAGAAACCCTATATAAGGCCCTATATAGCACAGCAACATGACTACAGTTGACACCAACTAATTGAATATTTCAAAATAGCTACTAGAAAGGAAGACGAATGTTCTCATCACAAAGAAATGACCAATGTTTGGCGTGATAAGTATGCGAAATATCCTAATCTTACGATTACATATTTCACACATGTATTAAAATACACACAGTGCCCCGTAAATGTGTCATCACTATGTGTCAATTTAAAATAAAAATAAACTTTAAAAAGAAAATATGAATTTCTGAGATTTCATAATGTATCTCATGGGGAGTAATAACAACATGTAACTGTTCCTAAGACTTCATATTAAACCTATTGGTGGAGGGGGGATAAGACAACAAAGAATATGTGTTTATATAAGAATATGTTCCAAGCAGAAAAATCACAATAGATTATTTTTTGAAGACTGAAACCAATATGCTACTGCATTTCAAGAAAGTAATAAAATATAAGCAGTAGCTGAGTGTGGTGGTACATGCCTGTAATCCCAGCACTTGGGAAACTGAGGCAGGAGCACTGTCATGCATTCAAGGCCAACCTAAACTACACAGCGAGACCAAAGGAAAGAAAAGAAAAGACAAGGAACTATACAGGCAGTAGAACTAAAACAGGAAACCTAATCTTACAAACATGCTACTTAAATCTTAACTTTTTTTTTTAATCCTAACTCTTTTAAAAAATATTTACTTATTTATTTAGGTTTTTTGAGACAGAGTGTCACTACGTAGTTCAGGGTGGTCTTTTTTTTTTTTTTTGTACCAGGGATCAAACTTGGGACCTTGCACTTATGAGGCAGGCACCAGAACCACTGAGCTAAATCCCTGGCCTCAGGCTGGTCTTGAATTCAATATGTAGCCCAGGCTGGCCTCAAACTCATGGTGATCCTCCCGCCTCAGCCTCCTGAGTGCTGGGATTACAAGTGTGCACCATGACACCTGGCTCTAAAGCTATTTTATTAAAATGATGATTTTTTTTTTTTGGTACCCGGGATCAAACTCGGGACCTCACGCTTGTGAGGCAGGTGGCAGAACCACTGAGGTAAATCCCCGGCCCAATATATTGTTTTAATATTAGAGTACTCAATAAAAATGACAATGAGAGTACATCCAAAAAGATAAATATTAATTAGATATATTAGTATTTATTAATAATAACAACGAAGAACTAGGGAAATTCAAACACTTATCCAAACTACAAATTCCATTGCTTTAAAAAAATATTTCAATATATATGCTGATTGGTTTCATTTTATACTACTAGTTTATCTTTGTTAGTTGAAAAGAAAGATCTGCCTTACTATTTCTTTTTGAAACAATCTTTTTCATTTATGTCTTGTACTCTGAGTATCTAACTTGAAGATGATACACATTGTAACAGCTATTGTCTTTCTTATTTGATTATGAAATTGTTTTACTTTTTCATAAAATTTAAATTAACTAAATCACTAAGGTAATCAATACCACACATTGTGTAATAATTCTTACCTACTGCTTTCATTTGTTTTCCAATAGCTTGGCAGATCTCTTTGGCAGCTGCTATCTGGGCTTTTTCACCCAGCAAACTCCCGACAGTGGCTCTTAGGATAAAGGAGACACATCGTCTTGAATACACAGCCTCCACGTGTGTTTGAGTTGCCCGAGGATGGGAAACCAGATCAAGTACGTGGCACAAGAACGTAGCAAAGCTACGCTCCAGCCACTGACCACCCAAAGTTGTTACAAAAACAACGTATGCCTATGAACACAGTAAAATACTGCATCAGACACATATAAATATATAAAAATGAACAGAAATCACAGATAAACCAACAGAAATAACAAAATAAATTATATTTGAGATTAAAATGGGGAAATTTAAACTTCACATCCTTTTCAGACTTCTAGCATAGGAAGTACTGGTAAAGAGTCTGATTAAAACAGTTGTTAAGATAACAATTTCATGAATAACAAAAAGGAGTCCACGTGTGGGGATACACACCTGTAATCCCAGCACTCTGGGAGACTTAGGCAGGAGGATTGTAAATTCAAATTCAGCCTGCACAACTCAGTAAATCAGTGAGACTCTGTCTCAAATTTTAAAAAATAAAATAAAAATGGGACCCCTTTCAGAGAGAGCATGCCTCGCCATAAGAATCATTAAGAGGGCAGCGGAATGATCGTCAACAACACGGAGAGCATCCGAATGGAGCTTACATTCAATGACATGAAGAATGTGCCAGAAGCCTTCAAAAGGACCAAGAAAGGTATCGTGTACCTTACCCTTTAACAGGTCATTTTTCTGTCCAAGGAGAAGGATGCCCTGCAGTCCTTCATGATGCTGTTTTATCTGATGAAGGACTGTAAGATCAAATAGCCTGTGTTTGGCACAAACTATATCAAGGAACTGTGAAAGCTGAAGCAGGAGGTGGCTGGGAAGGCTCCGCTTTCTACAAGTTGACCTTCATAGCAGGAGGTGCCACTGAGTTTGGACAACGGATGCTCCAGGTGACATCACAAGCTACAAGAGGTAAAGCCCCCAATGGAGACTGTGGGTTCCCTTACATGCCCAGCAGGGCCTATGTCTTTCCCTCACCAGTTGCCAATGGAATGTACCTCTGCCCTCCTGGCTACTCCTATCTACTGCTCCCACCTCAGTTCTATCCAGGACCTCCCATGATGGATGGAGCCATGGGATATGTGCAGCCCCTGCCACCACTCTATCCTGGACCCATGGAGCCTCCAGTCAGTGGCCCTGATGTTCTCTCCACTCCTGCAGCCGAGGGCAAGGCTGCAGACACAACTGCCAGTGCCTTTTACAATTCAGGCAACACACACAAGGTCTATATGGCCACGAGCCTCTTCCACCTCCCCACTACTCCCCAGAAGATAAGACCCAGGAGACTCTGTCCACCTCCTGCCTCCCATCCTCATGGCTCTTTCCTACCCCTCCCCAAGGGGCTGGCTGCATCTGCGCTGGGAGATCAGGGAGTTCTTCCTCAGGGCTGATGATAAACAGTAACCAGGAACTAGCTTTCTGGGGAGGATGGGGTTCCCAGCCTCTGGAAAGGCACCCCAGCTTCCCATGCCAGCTCTGCCACACCTTCCTCTCGTCATCTCTGGGGCTCTCCTCAGGAGCACGGAGTGTCCTGTGATTCCTGCCTCACTCTCTTTCCCAAGGAGGGACTCTCTAGCCACCTCCAAAACAGTCCAGCCCCCAAAGTCTGGTAGCAATTCTGTGCTCAGCTCACAAGGCCTTGTGAGCTTCATGAGACTAGCCATGTGTCTTTGCTGCCTGTCTCATCAGGGCTTGCTCACATTCCTCCCACTGGTCTGTGCCTGGCCCTAGAGGGCCACTGTCTTGACAGACTGTCAGCCACATTCCATTCTGCCAGGCCCAGACCCCAGTCACATCCACCCTCCCTACCTTATCCTTGGACATTTTGTTGCCACCTCTGACTTCAGGGGCTTTTCCTGGGGTAAAGCTCCAGGGGTTGGGTGGCATCAGGGACAACACCCCTGCAGCCAAGGAGGAAGCCCCTCTGCTCTCTGCTAGTGATTCTGGAATTTGTTTTCTCACTAATTTCCTGTCTACAAGAGGCTTCCTGTCAGGAGCCATGGAGTGCATGTCTGTCCCATCAGGTCACGGGGGCTGCGGGAGGGCTGAGAACCAGGTCCCCACCCTGTGTGCTGACCACCACAGCCACAGGTCCCTCAGCCTGCCCTCCCTGGATGTAGGACCTTCAGCCTCCCATGCCCCCAGATGCATGAAGATTTGCTCTCAATTGTTTCTGGACTGGCCACAAAGTGAGGAGATGGTTATTTAAAAAGAATTCCCTATTTGACAAAAAATTAGTTAATATATTAATGTGAAATAAACCCTCTTTGCACCTTGATTTGTTTGCTAAAACTGTGAAATAGTAAAAATGAACAAAAACATAATTTTATATCTCATTTGTTCCCAAGCAAAAATGTTTTAGATATTTATAGTATATTAAATCATACACATAACCTTATTTTCACATCATTAAGAATCTACCTTTCCATATATTCACACAATTTGGAATTTGAATGTAATTCATTCACTTGGTAAAAGAAATGTTTTCAAAGAGAAGAGACTAAATTGACAATCTTTCTCTGTGTGTTGTTAATTAGTAACAGTCTTTCATGAAATTTAACAAGTGACATGAACAAAATTCTTTTAGAAATACATATTACAAACCTGAGTAACTCCAACTCTCACTTCACGATTAACGGACCCGCCAACTTTTAACATTTCTCCACCACTCTTTAAGAAACCTGATCCTCCACGTAGAAATCCTGTGGCCATCAGTTCTAAGACTTCATCAAATGTTGCTCGTTTCACATTCTGACGCATTACTTTAAGGAAAACAAGTAAATTTATAAGTAAATATATTTCTGAAACAGATTTTTTTTGTTGTCAATTAAATCATATTTTTAATACTTCAACTTTTTAGGAGGCTGAGGCAGGACAATCGCTGTGAGTTCAAGTCCAGCCTGAACCACGTAGCAAGACCCTGTCTCAAAAAGAAAAAACAAAAAAAAAACCTAACACTTCAACTTTAAAATTCAAGTGATTAATTTTAAGAATACTAGAATGAGGATAAAGTTATTTAGTTTTCTTATAACCTTAAAATTTACAATGTACTTGTAAACCTGAATTCAATTTTGAAGTAAAAAAGTAAAGAGAATTGAATAAAGTAATTCAATAAATCTATGTCAAATATTGTAGTTTAATAACAGTAATAATATGTGTAACACAACATGGCCAGGCGTGGTGGCACATGCCTATAATTCCAGCACTCGGGAGGCAGAGGCAGGAGGATCACTGTGAGTTCGAGGCCAGCCTGGGCTAAATAGTGAGTTCAGGGCCAGCCTGAACTACAAAGTGAGACCCTGTCTCAGAGAAAAAAAAAGTATGTAGAATGTAATACAACATGAACAAAGCCCATAGCAGATACTGCTAACATTTTTTCTTTTTGAGACAGGGTCTCACCATATAGTTCTAGCTGGCCTTGAACTCACTATGTAGCCCATGCTGGCTTGAAACTTGCAGTGATCCTCCAGCCCCAGCCTCCCAAGTGCTGGAATTACAGGTGTACACCACCACGCCTGGCCAGATACTGCTAAGTGATCACACTTCTTATTCCTAATGAGGGCCAGGGATTTAGCTCAGTGGTGCTGCTGCCTGCCTCACAAGCACAAGGTCCAGAGTTCGATCCCCGGTACTCCCCCCAAAAAAAGAAAGAAAGAAAATAGCCTTAATACTAATGAGACACACCAAAGAAACTTCTAAACAGCAACCAATGGATTAATATACAACTGAAAATCCAGCTGACTTGCCATCCCTAGTCTTGAGTGCTATAGTTTATGAAGTCCTTTCACATAGAGTGGCAAACACAGTCCTTATAAAAATTCTGTAGAAGTATAAAGCTCATAGCTAAGTATACAGGCTTTGGGATTTGACTGCCTGGGTTTAAATTTCAGTCTTGATACTTAACAGAGCATTTTTTAAAACACAAGTTACACAATTCAAGCCTCAATTTTCACATATATAAAGTGATAATAACAATGGTACTTTTAATTCATGGGGTGAATAAAATAAAACACTTCTGTAATATGCTTAATCCACTGCCTAACAACACTTTAGAAATGTTACATCATCATCGACTAATGAAATAATTATCATTAAAGTTGAAGAAACAAAGATCTAAGATATTAAACAGGGTCTCACAGATAACAAATATAAGGACTAAGAGCTAACCCTATAACATCTGATTCTTTTTACTGTACAGAGAGGTAGGGTAAAGGTAGGAATAGCAGCAGTATTGGTACATTCAGCATCTGCTATGGGTGTATTCTGCCCTTGTTATTACACTTATTACAACCCTCCCTAAGACAGCACTGTGGAACTGTGAGGCAAAGCAGAAGTCACATGAAAAAAAAAAAAATATCAATGCTGCCTCTGATTCTGCTTAAAATAATGGTCAAGAAAATACTGAAAATTGCATTGTGGTACAAATGGAGATCTATCTATTAAAATTGAAAGTAATAAATCAGCACATAAGGTACTAGAATCCAATACCTTGATACAAAACCATTTCATAAATCTCAAAAAGTATGGAAGGATCAGGGATATAGCTCAGTGGCACTGCACCTGCCTGGCGAGCACAAGGTCCTGAGTTCAATCTCCAGTAATGGAAAAAAAAAAACATGGTAAATGTTTAAAATAAAAATTATTACAGTAAAAGACACACGGCCATCAATGCCCCTCAAAATATTCTCTCTCACTTCAAACACACTTGTTCCATTATTCTTGTCACTTCTGAAGCAATTCTGGATCTCTCAGGACTGGTTTTTCCTGGCTACATGGAAGTCCTAAATTAATTCAAAATGTTTATGACAATCTCTGTCAAATAAAAACATTACAGTGTGGGCCGGGGATTTAAGCTCAGTGGTTCCACCGCCTGCCTTTCAAGCACAAGGTCCTGAGGTTCGATCCCCCATACCAAAAAAAAAAAAATTACAGTGTATCTTCATCCACCTTATTCACAGGATCAAGCACCGTGCAACTTCTGCATTTTCCCCAAAGTTAAAATGACCAGGAAAAATAAACATTTTGAATTATATCACAACATTGAGGCAGCCATGACAGCTCATATCAATACACCAAAAACTTCTAGAACTGTTTCAGAAAGTGACAAGAATGATGGGATAAATGTGTCCAAAGCAAGGGGGAGTATTTTGAGGGGGATCAATGGCAATGTGTCTTTTACAATTTTTTGAAATATGTAAAATTCACCTTATATACCCCACATATCCAACAAAATTGCTAGATATTATCTTATACATCATCATAAAATTGTTTGGTATGTCAAGGAAAGTACCATTTGAATTCTCATTTTATGAAAAAGGTATCTAACAATTTAAACCCTTGCAGAGCCAGGTGTGGTGGCACATGCCCATAATCCCAGCACCTGGGAGGCTGGGGCAGGAGGACTGTGGTGAGTTTGAGGTCAGCCTGGGCTACATAGTGAGACTGTCTCAAAAAACCAAAATAAATAAATATATCCTTTAAGATGATCTGTCTATAGGTAATAACTAATTTAAAAGGAAGCAGTCCATAAGTCTTTGAATTATCTGTTAATTTAAATAATGAGGTGGTAAACAATACCTGTTGCCTGTTTTGGCATCAGTGCTGTGGCCATGACTGTGCCTAAGAGTTTAGCCACTGACACTCGTACCCCGTAATTTGAATTCTCCAAAGCTTTAAAGCAGAGAGTAGCTATATTTTCCAGTTCAGCAGTCCACATGAACACAGCTTCATTTTGGAGTTCCAGTAGACACTGGAATTAAAAACAAAAGGCAAAATTATTATACCCTAGAACTTCTTCTTCCAGAGATGGAGTAACAAAAACAAGACCCAAGATGGTCATGGTGGTGAATGCCTATAATCCCAGTAATTTAGGACACTAAGGCAGGGAGAGCAAGGACAGCCTGGGAAACTTAATGAAACCCTGTCTCAATATAAAATAAAATGAAAAGGCTGGGAATACAACTTATTGGCAGAACACTTGCCTAGCATGTGTGAGGCCCTGGGTTCAATATTCAATATCTCTCTCTTTCACACACACACACACACACACACACACACACACACACACACACCCCAAGAAGAAGAACAAGAACAAGAAGAAACAAAGGAAGACTATTAAAAATAAGAAAGGAAATCAATAAACCAGAAAACTGACAAATAACAGAAATAAAATCAATACTACTTCTTGAAGACTATTCAATTTGATAAATCTCTAGGAAGACCAAAATAAGGAATAAAAGATATCACAAATTTTATATATATTAAAAGTATAAGATAATACATGAACAATTTCATGTAAATAAATTCAATAACAGCACAATTTACAGAAAAACAGATAACCTGAAGAACCCAGTATCTATTTCTAAAACTGATTTGGTAGTACAAAATCTTCTATATTGATGAATTCAGCCAAATGTTTAAGAAAAAAATAATACCAATTCTATATAAATTCTTCCAGAAAACAAGTTTCTACTACTCCTATGGGGCCAGTATCTCTCTGGTACAAAGAGAGTACAAGAGAAGAAAATTACAAATCAGTATCCCTCATGAGCACAGATTCAAAAATACTAAAAAAAAGTTTTGAGCAATTCTAAAACAACAATATAAAAACAAGTTAAAGGAAATTACTGAACAAAAAGATAATTTCAAAACGTGTGGTTATTTACTAGTAAACAAGAAATCACCTATGATTAAAAAGTTCTATTTGCCCCAGAGCGCTGAGGAGGTGAGCCTCTCAGGCCGCCAAGCCACCACCTCAGAGCAGCAAGGAGGTGAGCCTCCAGCACACCACCCCCAACTCCCTGCTGTGCTGAGCCATTACCTGGATCCACACCTCAGAGTTGCAGGAGTCATAAAGGACATTGTTCTGAGCTTGAGAAGATAGAGTAGAAATGAACAATCGAAAGAGGGCCTTTCTGAGGCCCGCTGATTAAAATTAAAGCCCACCAGAAAAATGAAGAAAACCTCTGCAATAAAGGCACACGAGGCCACCCTAGCTATGGGAGCAGCAATGTGGACCAGAGAAGTGTGGGTGCAAGCAGATCCCAGCCAGGGCTCCACCCCGACCCCAGAGGCAGGGGCACACCGGCCCAAGCTAAGGGCCTGCCTGGGAAAGAGCTGCACAGGCACACAAGCAACAGCCAGAGGTTCACCCCAAGACCATCAGTAGGTGTACAAGACCCTAGCCAGAAGCTTGCTCACACAACAGGAACTGGGGTGCACAGCCCCCAGCCAAAGGTCCTCCCACACAATAGCTACATAGGGGCCCTAGCCGGTAGCACACCTAGATACCATCCCAAGTGTGCACAGGCCCCAGCCAAAAGCCCACCCACACAACAGGTCAGCTCAGGGATCCAGAAGGCCACCTTTCTGAACCCAGGAATTAGTGTACTGGTGAGCAGCAGAGAAAAGGCAGCTCTGTGGCTTG